GGAAAATGCATCGATTAAACAATAAAAGCCACTTCAAACAAACAAGACACAATGGGCTGATGATGTCATGGGAGGTGTGTTTTACTGAATGTAGGGGGAAGAGGAGAGGCCGAGCATGCCGGGTGGCCAGAAGGCATGTTCTTGCTGCGTTTCTTTCCCAAGCATGCCTGGGCTCATGGCTGTCTCTCACCTAAGCTGCACTCAAAAGCAGAGTATGAAAACGCACCTGCAGGGTGGAAGATGGAGCACTTCAGACACAGGGAGACAGCTCACCCGGGACACTGGGGGCTGCGGGAGGGGCAGATCGGGGGGGGTTCAGGCATAAGAAGGGAAAGTGCTTCAACGTAAGAAGATGGAGGTCAGCGTGTGTCAGGAGGGGTGCACAGGTGCACAAAGGTCGGACAGAAAGAGGGGCACCCTGGGGAATGAATGTGTGTGGCGGCTGCGAGGAAGGAGGGAAAACGGGTCCCAAGTGTGTCTGCAACGAGGGTCCAGAGTGAGCGCGGGAAGGAGGGTCCGGGATCTCATGAAATGAGGCGAGTAAGGGAGGGCCCCCAGAGGACAGCACAGAGACGCAGCGCGTGTGACAACAGAAATGCGGCATGTGCGAGAAGGAGGGGGACGCTGAGCTTGCTGGAGAGCTGAGGGCCTCGCGAGCCGGAAGCAAAGGCAGAATGTGCAAGACAGCGAGAGGGCAAGTTTGTGCAAAATTGCAGCCTGGGAAGGGGGCGGGGCGAGAGGCGAGCAGGCGTGCGACGGAGTGGGCAGAACGTGCAAGAGGCCAGGGCGCAGCGGGCTGTGTGCGGGGGAGGGGGAGGGCTGAGGGGCCTGGAGAGGGGGAAGGGTTGCTAGAGGGGCGGCAGGTGGTGGAATCTGAGGGCACCCCCTTCCCCTGTGGCCTGGGGGACGGGCCCCATCCAGTCAGGCTCAGGGCTGACCCTCTATGGCTCTGTCTGTCCCCTCCCCCCAGAATCGGCCCTTCCCTCCTTCTCAACCCCCCCTCTGCAACTTCTATCCCCCCCTCCGCACTCCGTGTCACACACGCAGTCTCGCATCAGCTGCCCCCTCCTGTGAGGTGCAAATGTCTGGTCAGGCCACCTGGTGACCCCCGGCCTTGGGAGACAGGGCAGGGCATAGTCTGAGCAGAGTCCCTGGCCTGGGAAGAGAATGACGATCAGGGTCAGAGGTCAAGAGGCCAGCAGGCTCAAGGGTTCTGTGGACGGGCTTGTCCGTCCGGGCCAGCCATCACCTCTCCAGGAAAAATTTGAGAGCCCGGTCGATGTTCATGCGGTGGCCCACCCTGGTCACCCCCAGATCGACGTAGTCCTCCTTGGTCAAGGCCGGCAGGTGGGAACCGTCGATCTCGTGGTCCAGGAACTGGGCTCGGTGCTCAGACAGGCCCAGCCACTCCAGCCAATCCGCCACGTCAAACTTGGTCCAGAACCCCAGAGGTTTAGCGCCAAACGGCTTGTCCGGGGGCAGCGAAAGCAGGCGGGTCGGCGACAGGGAGCGGGAGGCCCCCGACAAGGCTCCTCCAAGCCCCCCGGACATCCCCGGGTGTGGCGGCACAAAGACGGGGGCGAAGGGGTCCGCCGAGCCTCCTGCCCCTCCGGTGGGGGAGCCACGGATGTCAAAGAGGCCCGGATACAGGGGTCCGGAAGGCAGGATGGGCAGGGACGAGGGCCTGGGCGCGGGGCTGACCTTGTGCTCCGAGGTGGGCAGCAGGGAAGGGCTGGGGGCCCGGCGGAGCAGAGGGGGCCGCATCTCGAACTCCACGCCCTGGAGGTGGCGGGTGGACGCGGAGGAGGAGGAGGCTGATGGGGAGGTGGCCCCGGGGGCTGCGGCGGCCGAAGGGGAGACCGCGGTTCCGGTGGACAGTGGCGACAGAGGCGGTTTGGGCCAGTTCTGAAACAGGCTGCTGACGGGTTTGGAGAGGAGCGAGGACTGGGAATCATCGGAGAGTCTGGAATGCGACAAGGGGGCAGGGGTGGAGGGAGGTTCAGGGGGCCGGGGCAGGTGAGAAAGAGGCAGAGGTCACAGGGAGAGAGGAAGAAGATTCAGGAGGGTGGGGGAGAAAGATGAGGAGAGAGGCGGAAGGAGTGAGGGGCAAGATGGCCGTCAGGGACAGAAATGAAGGGAGAGAGAGATGACAGGACAGGGAGAGGGTGACAGCCAAGAGAGATGAAAGAAAAAGAGACATTAAGTGATAATAATAATAATCGCCACCGCTTACTGAAGCTCACGTGTGCCCGGCGTGATTCGAAGTGCTTTGCGTATTGCATCTCAGTGTCATCCCCATGACAGCCCTGACGCAGGCTACTAGCAGTATCAGCACAAAGAGGTTAAGTAACTTGCCTAAGGACACACAGCTGGGAAGTGGCAGAGCCCGGTTATACGGCACCAAAGTCTGAGCTCTTAACCACTACTCTACACTGCCTTTCGGGTTATGGCCAGTCATAGCAGAGTGAAAGACAGGGAGACAGTGAGAGAGAAACAAAAAGAGGGTGAGCATCCAGGGAGAGAGATGGAAGGGGACAGGGGACAGAGACAGAGAGAGAGAGAAGAGAGAGAGATGAAGAGAGAGAGATGAAAGAGGGAAGAAACAAGGGGAGAAAAAGGTTCCCCTCATCCCTTTAGCTCCAGCATGGTCCCACCTCAGGGCCCTTGCACTGGCTGTTCCCTCTGCCTAGCTCACTCTTCTGCCCGGCAGTCAGGTGACTTGGCCCCTCCCCTGCTCAGCTCTTCTAGTCTGTGACTGGAGAGACCGTCTCTCACCATCTCATTATTGTAATGTTTTCCTAGGCTTGTTGCAATTACGAGTATACGTCTGGCTCCCACCCCTGCCTCCCTAGACCATGAGCCCTAGGGGGGCGGTATTTTGCCTGTCGTGTCCACTGTGAGGTGCCATCACCAAGGGCACCCAGACACAGAGGGCGATGAGTCAATAACATGCATTTGTTGACTAAATTAAGTATCCTTCTCTCTATCCGGGACACTTAATAGCCACTGAATTGCCTTAAGATCTCAGAGGCCTAATAAACCCATGGGCGAATGTGAACCGTAAGGACATCAGACACTCAAGCAGACTTGGAGTGAGCTCTGCGGATGAACAAGGAGAGTTAAAAACCTCTCTCCCACCCTCTCTGCGTGTCTGAATCAGGAATGTGACTTGATGACAACCCCCGAAGACCAGAAGGTCGTGAATGGGCTGTCCCTGGGAAATGTCTGCATCCCTCCGCATTTCTCCATCGAGATGTTGCTGGGCCCTTGTACAAGGCTCCCCTCCCCTCCCTGACCCTACAGCCTAACAATGGTCCACAGTTAACCCTCATTTATTTTTATTTTTTAGACACAGGGTCTTGCTCTGTTGGCCAGGTTGAAGTGCAGTAGGGCGATCATAGCTCACTGCAGCCTCAAACTCCTTGGGCTCAAGGTATCCTTCTGCCTCAGCCTCCCAAAGTGCTGAGATGGCAGGTGTGAGCCACCGTGCCCAACCTCTAAACCTTCTTGAAAGCCCTTTGGGGCTGGTGTGATGCTGCCCCTCTTCTACAGAGAGATAGGTTCCTCTGCCTAAGATCATCCAACTAGGAAGTGCGTGGCTGAGACTGGATGCCAAGGAGGTGGGCCCAGAACCACACCTGTGTTCACTGTGCCCCGAAGTGTCATGTCTTCAACCACACTGTGCTCTAGGGGCTCACAGATTTCAGGGGCTGTCAGAAAGAAACGATAACCCACCAAAAAACAGCTAAGTCTCACTCTGTTCTCTCCTGGTTTTTTGGTGGGGCCAGAGTCTCATTTTGTTGCCCAGACTGGAGTGCAGTGGTACGATCACAGATCACTGCAGCCTTGATCTCCTGGGCTCAGGCGATCTTTCTGCCTCAGTCTCCCAAGTAGCTGGGATTACAGGCACGCACCACACCAGGCTAAATTTTTGGTTTTATAGAGACGAGGTCTTGCCATGTTGCCCAAGCTAGTCTCGAATGCCTGGACTCAAGGGATCCTCCCGCCTCAGCCTCCCAAAGTGCTGGGATGACAGGTATAAACCACCTTGCCCAGCCTAAGGGTTTTTTTCTATACAAGGTCTTGCTCTGTCACCTAAGCTGGAGTGTAGTGGCACAATCATGGTTCACTGCAGTCTTGAATCCCCGGGCTCAAGCGATCCTCCTGTCTCAGCCTCCCAAAGTGCTGGGATGACAGGCAACGAGCCACCACGCTCAGTGAAGAATTTTTTTTTCTATAGAAAGTCTTGCTGTGTCACCTAGGCTGGAGTGCAGTGGCACAATCATGGCTCACTGCAGCCTCGAACTCCCGGGTTCAAGCGATCCTCCTGCCTCAACCTCCCAAAGCGCTGGGATGACAAGCATGAGCCACCATGCCCAGCCTAGGGTTTTCTGCGGTTTTTTTCCTATACAAGGTAGCACTCTGTCACCTAAGCTGGAGCGTAGTGGCACAGTCATGGCTTACCGCAGCCTTGAACCCCCAGGCTCAAGCGATCCTCCTGCCTCAGCCTCCCAAAGTGCTGGGATGACAGGCAGTGAGCCACCACGCTCACTGAAGAATATTTTTTTCTATAGAAAGTCTTGCTGTGTCACCTAGGCTGGAGTGCAGTGGCACAATCATGGCTCACTGCAGCCTCTCACTCTCGGGCTCATGCGATCCTCCCGCCTCAGCCTCCCAAAGTGCTGGGATGACAGGTGTGAGCCAGTTAAGTCTTTCTTGTCAACAGCTTTTTGTTCACCATGGGATGTGGGTTGTTATAGCGACGGGAAGAGACCTCAGAAACTGCTCAGATAACTGGAAATTTAAGGGATCTGTGAAGGCAGCCTTCTGTGGGCACACATTTCTGCACGCCACCTGGTTTCTGCTTGCTTTCTGCCACCCTGAGACCCCGAAGGGATGCAGCTATGGGGGAGGCGTACTCGGTACCCACCACCTCGGCCCCTCCGGCCCTCCCTCGCTGGCCGCCAGCGCCTGCTCACCTCTGCCTTTGCAGCGAGGAGGTCCTCTCGGGGACGTAGCTGGCGCCCCCGTGGTGGCTGTCCGTGCTCCCCACGCTGCCTCCTCGGGCCCAGGGCAGAGCCCCACCGGCAGACGAGGAGCCCCCAAACTGCTGAAGCTTGGAGCTGAGTTCACTGATGATGCTGGCTTTCACGGTGGCCAAGGCCGAGGCCTGGGGCTGGGCCAGGGGCCCCGGCAGCGGCGGCG